CACAGAAAGTCTGTGGCCCAGAAGCAACCAAGACTGCTCCTCATTCTGACAGCCAAACTTGGTAGTGTAAGAGTCACCCAGGCAGTGCTGATTTTGAAGGTGTGAAATGATGACAGGGAGTAGCTGAGTCCAGGAGAAGCTGTTAGTGAAGGTGCAACCTCAGTTGCAGCCAATGCCCCAGGATTGAAGGGGTTATGGAGAGAAGTTGAAGCTTGACACAGGTGGCATGGTCAGAGTCCCTGAAGAAAGTCCAAGACAGACTATTAGTGAAGCTACAAACCAGCTGTAGTGGAGACTTTGGCATCTTGGAGATGCCAATATCATGGGTCAACCACCAAGAGCAGCAGCAGATGTAGAATAGAGCCAGCCTGACCCTTGGAGACAAGCTGTGTGCATTAAGAATGACTGCCCAAGCCCTTTGAAGGATCCCAGAAGACTATGAATGAGTCCCAGAAGTCTGACATTGGTTTACACTGTTGAAATTTGGTGTTGCTTTGTACTGCGCCCTCATTCTTCCCTCTTGGAATAAGACTGTGTTTAACTTACTTGATTTTATAGGAAGCCATAGTTGAGAGACTTTGAGATTTTAGAGTTTTACAGAGACTACATTTCTAGAGAAACTTTGAATTCTAAAAGGAATCAGTTATTTTAAACAAACTGAATTTTTAAAGTATTTGAATTTGTAAATGCGGTGACATATTGTTTATGATCTAATAAAGCTTGCCTGAATATCAGAATACAAAGCTAGCCACAGTCATAGAGGCCAGGCAGTGGTGGCATACAACTTTAATCCCAAAAGCCACACTAGTTAGCCACAGAGGCTGGACAGTGGTGGTGCATGCCTTTAATTCCAGTGCTAGAGAGGGATATAAGACAGCAACTCAGGGTCTCATGTAGAATTCAGTATCCAGCGACTCTGAGGACAGGATCGCCCCAGCCTTGGTAGAGGTAAGAACTCTCTAGAATTTGGCTGCTGTGTTTATCTTATCTTCAGTTGGAACCCCAATATCTGTCTCTGGGTTTGTATTATTCATGCTACATGTAAAGACTACAGAATTTCAGTTATTTATGTTTTATATTGAAATATTAATATTAACATCCCATCTTTGGGAAAATGAGAAAAGAAAGGTTCTAGATAAAAAGTGAGGTATTTGTATGTCAATTTGGCAAGTGGTCAATTTTCCTGGTTGGTCTTGATTTCAAGTTGACACAGTTTGAGTCATCCAAGAGGAGGGAACTTCAATTGTAAACAAGAAAGGCCTCCATAAGATCAGCTGTAGGCAAGCCTGTAGGACATTTTCTTCATTAGTGATTGGTGCAGGGGAGCAGCTCATATGGATAGTGCCACCCCTTGGCTATCGGTCTTGGGTGCTATAAGAAAGACTAAGCAAGGCAAGAGGAGCCAGAGGGCAGCACTGCTCCATGGCCTCTGCACCTGCTGTGCCTCCAAGCTCTGAAACGCATGAGCTCCTGCCTAACTGCTTTCCATGAAGAACTGCTATGTGGAGATATGAGTGAATAAACCCTTCCCCCCCCCAAGTTGCTTTGGGTCACAGTGTTTCACTGCAGCAATAGAAACCCTAACTAAGACATTGGACTAATAAAGCTGCCTGGACATTGTTCTTATTCAGCAAGGAAGGGAGTTCCTCTGAAATTGCATTCTCCTCCCTTCATCTTATCCGCCCTATTGCACTATTTCAGAATATCTGCTGGAAAAGCTCAGTTTGGACACAGGGTGGCATAACCAGTCCTTGCTTGGCAAGGCTGTTCTTGCAAGCTTGAATGCTCATATTAATATCCCTATATTATGATCAGGAGATTGGGACAAGTCACATGTCCCTCCAGGTTCAAAGGGACTTGGGGTCAATGAAAGACAAAACCCCCTCATTGGCATCAGGGTGAGGCAAATAAAGCATCTTCCTTCCTTCCGTCGGACCCCTGCTTTCTCAGCTGGGCTTCTTCACACATATTATTACATAGTCCTAGAGAGTGTATGTGTGTGGGCTTCCAACTGCAAACAAATGGAGAAAACAACACTTGGTAAAACTTGAGCTATGTCATGAGTGGAACGGTTAGCAACAACAACAGCTTTGATTCTACAAACCATCTGGCTTTAGTTACTCCATGAAGGACTTCCCCATTAGAAATGAGGACACCTCCAGCCCATTCACACGGTGGCCTGTGGTGGCATCTGTATTAAAGGCATTATACAGCCCGAGAAGTTATGATTGACAAGTAGCAGAGAAGGAGCAGGGAATCACTGTAGGGAAGGCAGCAGCCCTCGGGCAAAGATAGCTTGGTTCCCCTGAAGGTGTCAAGAGTGGGGCTGCACAGAAGGATGGGGTCACCCTGAGCCTGGAAACTCCTACATTTTGTTAGTGTGCATGGTTGATCTCCTAGGGAATCTCAGGCCCAGTCCTTTCAGGTCCCCCATTTAAATCTCGGTTGATCATCTACACAGAGTTGGAGAAAATAGTTAATCCTAAATTAGTCCTCACTCCCAGAAAAGGGCCTGATCCTGTGAAGTTAGGCGTAACTATCTGATCAACCTTGGCATGGAGAGTAATAACTGTCCAGGAAATATTTCTTTAAACAACCCACTTCAGAGATAAATTTGAACAGACACCACTGGCCTTTATTCTTTTGTCCAAGAAAAGCAGCAGATTCCGGGTTCGGATCAGAGTGGAGCCAACAGACTTGCTTACCGCTCCAGCACAGAAACAAGTCCACAGCAGCAGCCGTGGTGCTAGAGAGCCCGAGTGTACGTATGCTGTTTGATATCCTCCAGCTTCTTACTCTTCCTCCTCTGCACCTCTGGGTTTCCGAATGCAAAGGTGGAATAAACCTCCCAGCAACAGTCTGCGTTAATGCTTCCTCGGAATTCCAAACTCAACAGTTTGGTTTACGTTTCCACCAGCAGCAAAAGCAGTCTGTCCACAGAGAGCAAAGCCAGAGGGGGCCAATTAGGAGACAAGATTTTAAAGAAAAGAATAAACAGAAGGCAGGAAAGCCAAGATGAGAAGTCCAGAGGGGAGTGAGTGCTGCTGACAGGTGGGCTGAGCCACAATGGTGAGGGCAGCGCGTGCGGCGGGGGCCTCCCACCCACCAAGGGCAGCGCAGGCCGTGGTGGCGACGCCTCGCAAGCGTGGGCAGCGGAGGAGGGAGCCCGGTGCGAGCCCCGCGCCAAGCAGCTGCGACAGGAGGCAGGCGGCGAGCGCGCGGGCTCCCAGCCAGCCTGAGTCCCATTGGCCCTCGGGACGCGCTCGGAGCTGCTTCTCTCTTTCTGGGCGCAGCGGCTCCCCCACCCGTGCCTGGTTCAGTTTGGAGAAATTCCTTGTCGGCCTTGCGGGGAGAGCTAGGCTGCGCTTCAGCCGCCCTCTAGGGAGCTCTTCGTGCTGGAGATTCAGGGACCAGACCCGGGGATGAGCAGCGGAAGGCGGCGCTGGCACTGACAGGACTGGGGCCGAGGCTGCCGGCCACCGGCTACCGGATGAACCGGCAGGGTCAGATGCCTTAGCCGGGTGCACACGCCGGGCAGAGCGCACAGGTCGGACTTTGCTCTCCGCGGTCCGACTGCATTGGTGCTGGGCCAGCCCCAGGATGGGCACTGGAGCCCCGGGGCCGCGCCCGCTAGAGCCCCGCGTCCCTCCCGCGTCCTGAGCTCATGTATGTAGGTGCCAGTCCGCCGGGGTGAGGGTGCATGTTGGAGGTCCACGCTGGGGGCACGGGGATGCCTCCGGAAACTATTCTATGACCCAGTCGCTGGGGAGGACCCCTTCCTACCTCCCAAGTTTTAAATATGGGCGATTCGCCCAGGGCTGAGGTCCACTGGGGTTGGTTGTGAGCCAGGGGACAGCATGATTAGAGTCCTAATACAGAAGGCTGAAGGGAGCGCGCAGGGGGGGGGGGGTGGCAGACGTACTGGTTCGCACCGAGAGGATGGGCGCTTGGATAGGCAAATAGAGACTGGCATGTCTGTGCCCAGCTGTGTCTGGGGCTCTAGGCTCCTTTGGGCGACAGAAACTTTGAGACCTACAAAGGCTGGAAGACACCCTTCAGTGAAACAGTCTTGGTGCTCCTGCGCCTCCCACCTTCCCTGTCAGTACTCCCTGGGCATGCATCACTTCTCCATCGCCAAGACCCCTCCGGGTTAAAAGCTATTCCAAGACAGCGCTGTTGCGGGCAGGCGACAGCGCTCACGTCACCCTCCAAATCGCCCAGTGAAGAGTCGGGTATTGGGGCGGGGGTAGCGGTACCAGAGCAAAACCTCAGGAAACCAGACCCGGTCGACCAGGCAGAGGCCGGCAGTGCCCAGGTTAGAGAACAGAGGAGATACGTGTTTCCAAGACAGGAGGCATCTCAGAAGTTAAGGCCTTGGGTCTTCGGAGTAGCAGTGGGTTTGTTTGTTTATTTTGTTGTCCCCAGCTCCCTTTCCAAGCACAAACCCCTTGGGCAAGAGAGGAAGGGTTTCTCTTTAATCTGTGCGCCCATTTGTTGGGCTCCAACTCCACTGCGGAATTCTCCGTGTAGTAACCTGCGGGAAATGCGGCCAAGACTTAGGGAGGACCCAGCCCAGGTGCCGGAATTTGAGCTTTGAGTGCAAGCCTCGCAGCCCGCACCGGCCCGACTTGCTGCATTTTCCGGGCTCCATAACCTGCCGGTGACCATCTTCAACACTAATCTGCACTGCAGGAGACCCCGCGCCCGGTGTTTCTCTTGGACTTCGCTTGCTTTATATTCCCGCATGTGTGTGATATCTCAGAAGCCGGTTGTGTACAGACACTGGGCAAGCTGCCCCCGCCCCTGGCGTCCTGCTCGTTAATCTAGAGCGATGCGGGAGCCCGGGAGGCGCCGGGCCGGGTGGGGGCCACGGCGGGGCCAAGGTGCGCGCGGACCGCGGAGCTCAGTTGTGCTGCTGTTTTTTCCGCAGGGACGGCGACTCCCGGCTGGCAGCGGCGCGCCCCCGGGCTGTGAATGCGACTCGCTCATCCTCCGCGCTCCCCGCCCGCCCGCCCGCCGGGACGTGGTAGGGGATGCCTAGCTCCTCTGCGATGGCAGTTGGCGCGCTCTCCAGTTCCCTCTTGGTCACCTGCTGCCTGATGGTGGCTCTGTGCAGTCCGAGCATCCCGCTGGAGAAGCTGGCCCAAGCTCCTGAGCAACCCGGCCAAGAGAAACGCGAGCACGCGTCTCGGGACAGCCCCGGGCGGGTGAGCGAGCTCGGGCGCGCCGCGAGGGACGAAGGCAGCAGTGCCCGGGACTGGAAGAGTAAGAGCAGTCGCGCGCTCGCGAGCCGGGAGGCGTGGAGCAAGCAGAAGCAGGCCTGGACTGCCCAGGGCGGGAGTGTCAAGGCCGCCGACTGGCAGGTCCGGCCTCGGGGGGACACCCCGCAGGGGGAGCCCCCGGCCGCTGCCGCCCAGGAAGCGATCAGCCTAGAACTCGTGCCCACACCAGAGCTGCCTGAGGAATACGCCTACCCAGACTACCGCGGCAAGGGCTGCGTAGACGAGAGTGGCTTCGTGTATGCGATCGGGGAGAAGTTCGCCCCAGGTCCCTCGGCCTGCCCGTGTCTGTGTACGGAGGAGGGACCCCTCTGCGCGCAGCCGGAGTGCCCGCGGCTTCACCCGCGCTGCATCCACGTCGACACTAGCCAGTGCTGTCCGCAGTGCAAGGAGAAGAAGAACTACTGCGAGTTCCGGGGCAAGACCTACCAGACTTTGGAGGAGTTCGTGGTAAGAGGCCAGCGCCTGCGGGCGATTCGACACTTTCCAGGAAGGGACACAATGGTTTTGATTCTGCGACCCCCCACACACACACTTTGAAGGGAAGGCTCTCCCTGGTTCTCTGAGGTGGGGAGCGGTGGTTTGGGCACCCCTATAACACACCCTCTGGGTGCTGGGGTAGTCCTTATAAGGATAGTGTGGCCAGTCCGTATTGATGGATCTGATATTTGCTGTAAAAGGGTTTCATTAGACTGAAGTTTGTGACACCCAGAGAACAACTGCAAGTTATTTATTGGCTATACTGTCAACACGAATTCATTGCTCCTCATTTAGAAGTGAAGGGCTCAACCTGTTTTCAAACACTGTGTAATTTACCCTGCCAACTGGGACATAGTCTTTAGTAACTAATTAAGAAAGACCATTCATATGCATAAGCCATTCTAACAAGTAAATGTCTTAAATATCAAATGAAAACCTTTTTTTTTATTATTTTTGCTTACTAGTTGTCAAAACATGGCGGAAAGCAATATCGAGAAGCCCAGTTTCTGGTTAATCTGAGAGGAATACAAGGAATTCTACTTCTGATCCTCTCTGAATTGGGTCCCAGGCTAAGGCTCTCAGATGCAGTGATTTGCCGGGACTGTGTATCCTGTTAGGAAACAGGTGATCTATCTCTGTTTTATGAAGAGGAAACTGAAACAGAGAATGTCTAAATTACGAGCTGAAGGCAGGGAAGCCAGCAATACACAAATACTTGTACCAGACCGAGAATATGCTTTCTGCCTCAAACTCCACTTGAACTCCAGTCCTGGCCTATTGGGACTTAGGTTTGCTGTGAGCTTCTGCACTGCTTGCATGTGCTGGGCGTGGTGCAGTGTGTAATGTCTGCTTCTGGGTTAGGAACATTTGAAATGTAGTTCGTCTGCATTTGCAAATACCCAGTTTGGGTTCCACCTATGGTTCCTCTGACCCTGGCTGTTGACTTAATTAACATGCCAAAGGCATCCCTCACACCCTTCCCCCACCCCTGCCAGCAGAGGGCATCCTGACGCTGCAAATCCTAAAGCAGAGGTTGGAAGACAGGAAGGAAGTCTTTTGTAACTGTAATCCCCTGTAAATTTGTGGACTCCTGGACTCAAGTGTGAGAGGCGCAGTGGTGACTGGGGTGGACTCCAGCATGTGGACTGACCAGCAAAGCCAGGAAGAACTGACCTGAGGGTAAACTGTTACCAGCTTTGTGATTTAGTCAGAAACACAGCTTTCCATTTGCACTTTGCTGCTCTTCCAGGGCACTACTAAAACAAGTCATGCACGTGTCCTCTTTGGATTTCATTATTGTTCTCTGTAAGATTAGGGATCTGCTATCTCGAAGGCTCACGGGCAAAGTGTAGCTTCAAATGTACCACGTCTTTTGGGGGAACTTTAATAAAAATTCCATAGGACCCAAATTCAGAAGACTGGTTACAGAGTCAAGAACACTATCCTCAAAGTGCCCCCCTGGTGAGCTGGAGAGGCTGCCAGACAGCTCTCCAGATTTGGGTTCTCAGCACAATTCTCTTAAGTGTTTTGGGTTCATAAGATAATCAGGGTCTTATAAAGTCAAAGACAGACAGTTGTTTTTTAAATTAATAACATTTGCTGCCTGTTCTGTTTATAGAGCTCCATGGCACTTTAGAAGGGCTTTGTGAGGTGAGCTGAGGAATTATTTTACCATAAAAATAGAGCTGAGACACTTCCCAGAGGAGCCATCTCTGCACCTGAAATCACAGATACAGAAGAACCCAAACTTCTGTTTTCATAATTCATTGCCAAGTACCAGAAGCAAGGGAGCTGTCTTTTCCTCTGGAGGAGGGCAACCTCTTGTTTGATTTCTGCCTGAAAGTCCTGGTGTTGGATAGAGAGGATGTGTTTGCAAATTCTGGGAGGGGGGTGATAGTGACAAAAAAAAAAAAAACAGGAAATATTAAAGTATTCATGTCTTCCTTATTCAAATGACTTTAAATACTTTCTCTGTCTCTGTCTCTGTCTCTCTGTCTCTCTCTCTCTTGTGTGTGTGTGTGTGTGTGTGTGTGTGCACGTGCCCACGTGCATATATATATATACATACATAGAAGCAGATGTCAATGTGTATTATCTTTTCCAGTTTCCAGCTTGTTTTTTGCGAAAGTGTCTCTCACTCACCCTGAAGCTTACTGATTTATTTAGACCGTTTGGCCACCTTTAGAGAGACCGTCTGACTCCACCCTTCCCCTCTGTACAAAGCATGAGGATTACCAGGATACACGACAGTCCCCAGCTTTTATGTGGGTGGTGGGAATCCAAACTCTGGTCCTCATGCTTGCACAGTAAGCTGGCTGACTCATGTCCAGCCTGACTTTTCATTCTTAACTTCCAGGCAGTCTTTACACATGTTAGGGTGTCACGTGTTTGGATATTGCCAAATGTCATACTTTTAACTATGTGCTTTCTTCTATGAAGTTTGTATAAAGATTTTATCCTATGATGTCATGCTTGCTCCTTACCTTTGTATCAAGTAAATTTCTACTCGATGATCTTATTTGGTTTGACTAATAGAAGTCGTCGGTGCCCGTGGCTGTTGTTTTTCCACAGTGCACAGGGACCTGCAAAGGATCAGGAAAGAAGAGTGCAGTCAGTTCAAGTCTGTGGAGTTTGCGGGTGGCAGTGATGGGTATTTGCTTTACAAATGCTCACATCCTTGCTCTGGGTATTCAAAGAGAGACGTCATCTGTCCATCAGTCTACCATCCTATGACATAGGAGGCTGATGTTCAGAACTGTGAGCTAGAGGTAGCTATGGGGAGAAAGACTTTCTTTCCTGAGGAGATATGGAGCCCAGCTTCAGGCTTGTCTTTGCTTCCTGACAGAGGAAGCTGCTAGCCCTGCCTGGTGAATGTTTGAAGTGAGCAGTAGATGAGACTCTGGTGCTGCCAGCTGCCAGCAGGTACCCATGATGTGTGGGGCATTTGGTTCCTGTAAGCATCTCTTTGGTCACATGGTACCCACCCCTTCTGCTGCAGAGGCTCACTCCTGCCTTTTCTCTCCTTTCTAGATACTTTAACCCTTATCAAAACCCCTGCTATTTATGGCTATGTATCTGTAGAAGACTTTACTAGTCAACAAAAATACCACAAAGATGATAGTGGTGACAAGGATGATGGCCTCCGTCCTCCAGGTGGCTTTAATCCCATTTGATTCCTGAATGGCTGGGGGTGGTTAGTAGTAAATGTTTTCCATTGCCTCTTGATTATATATCAAGCATCTTGTTCTTCAGCTTACGGCAGCAGCAGACATCCAAGATTAGAACAAAGCGCCATCTGCTTTGTGCTTCACTACTAGTCAGCTACAGTTGCCATCACAAGCAAAAAATTAAAAAACAAAGACAAACAAACAAAACATGAAAAAATGGTACCTAAGATATAGAAATGCATTACCTCATGGGCTTAGAGGCTAGAAACTGGAGATCAAGGCATGTACAGTGTTGACTCCATGTAGGCTGTTTCCTTAGCTTGTAAGGGGTTGTCTTCTCTCTGTGTCTTCATTTGCTTTTTCTTCTGAATGTCTATGTTCAAAGTTTCTCTTTCCCTTTTCTTTCTACCTAGGTGGTCATGACTGTTCTTGTGGGGGTTGAGTCAGTGGTTCTCCACATGATAGACAAACACTCGAAGCTAAACCTTCAACCCAAAATTTCTTGCCAGGACACCAGTACTGTTGAATTGTCATTCCAATGACTGCATTTTAACTCAGTTTCCTCTCTCAAAGGCTAGATATTCTAATACAGTAAGGTTATTAGGTATGGGGGTTGGGACTTGACCATAAAGTTAAAATACAGTTCAGTCTATAGCACAGAGTGCCCATGACCAGAGTTGACCTTGTAGGAATGAGGATAAGGGGCAAACAAGACAAGTGGAATATAGAGGGACATATTTACATGAAGTAAGGAAGAAAGTGTGTATAAAGAAGACACCGGGAAAGATAGATAATAACTCCAGGCCGACTAACATCAGCTTGACCCATCTAATTGTGTGAGTTCCATCGTGTGAGTGCCACTTTCGGGGTTTTTATGTTGCTTCTGTGGTTGCTGCACTCTCAAGTCACAGAGAGCTAGCAGGTGGCCCTGTTGCTCTGTTAAGTTTTAAACCCCCATGATGATTTCCATTTGTTGAAGAAGCCGACTGAATTTGAAATCCATTAGCAAGAAAATTTTTATTTTGATCTACACAAAATTGTTCTCATTGTGGGGATTCTGGTTCTGGGAGACTTATGAAGACCTAAATGGGAGTCTGTAGCCTTGCTCAGTGTTTTATTTAAGCTGGTAGAACTCATGGGACAGTTTGAAGTAAGACTTAGTTGGATAGCTAACACTTCATGTTTCTTTGCTTCTTGTTGGATAGTATCAATTCAAAGTGATGGCACTGTTATCACAGCAATCAGAAGCTCAACTGGCAATTACTATGCCTTTGGAAAAGAAAATATGAATTATTAGTAGAAATTGCATGATGGACCACCTGTCAGTGCTTAAGAACTATTAAGAAGGAAAGAATTGTGAGGTTTCTGCAGACAAATTTGGTGGGGGCTACTAAGTTAAAGCAAGTGCTCTCTCTCTCTCTCTCTCTCTCTGAAAGATTGAATGTATGGCTTGCTATTAACTGCATCACAAAATTCTCATTTCTAGAATTTCATCAATGAGAAGAATATTTTCACATGAAAATTGGGTCGAAAATATCTGTCTAAAATAGATGTCTGTTGCAATTTTGGATACTTGCCAGGAAAACAAAATCAATCATATTTTCAGTCTAATGGTGTTTATATTCCTTGGGCTGATATTGCTTGGCCAAAAACAATGCTATTACTATCTACTCTTACTGAGCAAGTAGCATTTTGTGTGTGGCAGTGAGAATGGCATTTAAATCTACCTACCTATACAAAAGGAACATATACACAAACTTGGGCACCTGAATGACATTTATGCCTAACAAATAATTGGGTCCA